CCCCAAAACCCCAAAACCCCAAAACCCCAAAACCCCAAATAGTGACATCACTTTTGAAGTTCTAAATATTAATGAAAGATATGAGTGAGTAACCCAATAAAAGTAACTGTAGCCCCAACCTTAGTCAGGAAGGATATGCCCAAGGGAGGTTGAGCAGTATTTGGCACCATGGAAGCACCTGGACCAGTACCAGCCATGATTTGATAACTAAATGGGCAAAATCTGACCCAGAATATATTGTTTAATGAGGTTTTAGGTGCTTGGACTATTATGAAGAGTATTTCAACGTGGATTAGCAGAAACTCATGCCTTCGATGCATATAGCAAAAAGTTTAGTAAAGATTTAGATAAATGTGGAAATATAACCCCAGATTGATACTTGTAGGTACTCACTTTCATGCTATCAACTACTCAATAGACAAAATGGATAATGTAAGAATCAGGATGTATGACAAGTTTTAGGAGCTCAATTACTCGCCTAAGCAAGGGAAGCGATTAGGGATCCTGAAACAGCAAGGATGGCAGCCACTTGGTACCCACTGCCTTTGATCGTAAGGTTCTTTCCATTTCCAATCGTGGTTGCAAGGTTTGCAACAGCGCCACCCAGTCCTTTGGAAGTCGCATGGTTGAAGTCTCCGAAGCATCTAACATACCAAGTCTCAGTCTGGTTTGGAAGGTATACAGTTGATGCTAACTGAGAAGGAGTCAATCCACTCAAAGTGTAATATACTGACTTGTCACTATCACTGTGAGTATTACTTCCCGCTGGAGTCGAAATAGTGCTTGCAGTTGCTACACTCGCTACATGTGAGGTATCTTGTCCCCATGTCATACCAGCATAGTAAACGACAGTTGTGTAGACTGTGCTTAAAGATGAACAAGAAGCGCCACATCTCCATTCCACTCCGAAACCCTTTAAAGTAGCATTAGTCGTGCTGAGTTGATAATTGGAAGTTCCCACATTGACTCAGGCTCCAGTTGCATAATAGAGATTTGTCAGAGGAGTACTTGTAGATCCAACTGTTAGCCCAAATCTCACATCTGAGTTACTATTGTTACTCGAATTCATCGAGAACTTGATAGTGAACTTATAGCTGCCATTTTCAGCCAAAGTTGTTGATGCTGCAGCGAGAGAAAGTGTCATAACAAACACTAAGATTTCTAGAGTTTTCATTTAAATTTATTTTTGCTCAAAATCCTAAATCTTAAATCCAATCCTTGCCTTATCTAGAGGGGTTTTGGGGTTTTGGGGTTTTGGGGAG